GAGACAGACTGGAGATGGCACTGAGATGCCTCAGTTTCCCCAGAGGAAATGGCTACATGTCAGAACGAAGAGACAGACCAGAGGGAGTTCTCTTAGTCACAGATGACCAACCTTCCTTACCATCACCTCCCCCGGGAGTTCTCTTAGTCACAGATGACCAACCTTCCTTACCACCACCTCCCCCGGGCAGCCTCACTTTTTCATACAACCATCAAAAGAAGAACTGGCATCTTTACCACTTCCTCCGGTCTCACAGGAGGCACGCTGCAGGAGGAATCTCACTCAGTTCTCACAGCAATTCATCCACAGTGCTTCCATCTCTCCTGCTTTGTCAGCAAGCTAAACAAGCTTGGAGAAGCCGAGCAAGTCACCCAAGTGTTGAGTGAATGCATGCACAGTCGCCCAGACTGCCGGTTCCCCCCAGTATCCATCCGTTCCTCTCTCTTTGCCTTTGACATACTGCTAGATCATGATCTTAACTCGGCTGCATCTAGACTACCTGTCACCGATGGAATGAAGAGAAAGTGATTAATGCCACCCTCAACTGGTGCCCGGAACAGTCCCACCAGATTATCCCTGCTTGTTTTCTTTCTGTGTTTGCAGGATGAACACAGAGGATGCACTGGAAGACTTAGAGGAAGGAGCCTCTGCCCATGTACTAGGGTTCCACAGAGACATGGAATAGGATGGATATACACACACTTAACTTTACGTATAGGTAAATGCACACATCCATAAACTGGAAACATTTATACACATATGAGCAGATTGGTTATGCGATCTTGGCTCACTGAGTTACAAAAACTGAGGAGTCTTAAGATCTGCTTCTGTCTGTAAACTGGGATCCAGCAAAGCTGGAGGTAAAAAGGCCTGAGAGCCAATGAACCAGGGGCAAAAGACTGATGCTCATGTCCAAGCCTTCAGATGGAAAGCCAGAGAATCTTCCATTTCTCCATACTTTTCCTCTACTCAAGCCCTCAGTGGGTTAGATGAGACCCTCCCATACTGGGGAGGGTGAACTTGTTCCTTAGCACACCAGATTTTTTTTGCTGGTCTCTTCAAGACACACTCTCACAGAAATAATATTTAGTGAGATACCTGGACATCCTGTGATCCAATAAAGTTGACAACCTAAAGTTAACCATCACAATCCCTGGAGCTCTTCATGGTTATATGTAAGCATGATCAAGTTCAAACTTATTTTCTGAAAGATGAATCACCACACGGAATTGAAATGAGCCATCTCAGCTGAGCCAGCTAAGTTTAGTCAGCCCTCGGCCCTCTTTGCAACTGACCACAGATGTGTGAGGTAAAAAAAAAAAAAAAAATACACAGACTAGAACATGGGAAAGAAATACATCTTTATTGTGAGAAGACACTGTGGGTTTTATATTCTATATTATCACTGGTACTTTTAATTAACTCCAAATCCCATTATTTCAAGAGGCAGAAAGCCAAGACTGGTGATGAATGCCATGTCCTAGTAAAGTTCTCCCAATGTAGCCTGGCTGTTTATAAAACTGACCCAAAAACACCTTACACACATGTTTTTACCAGTATTTCCAGTACTAGAAAATAATCTGGGGAAATCCCTGCCTTGGAAAGCTTTTGTTACACAACAAGCTGCCCCCCAAATCAAATAGCTTACAACAAAGCAACCCCACATAAATACCACCACCCCCTTGAAAAATCCATATTTTAGTGAACAAGTTTGAGACTACAGTGTCTGCTGGGCTTAGCTGGGCCGTTCTGCCTCCCTAAGCCATGCTCTGCTAACATCAGCTGGGCTCACCCAGATGTCTGTGAGCAGCTCAGGGTCAGCAGCCATGCATGCGTCGGGTGATGACGTCAGCATGGTGTCTCTTCCTCCAGCAGACTGGCTGAGCTTGACAGCGTGGTAGCCATGGTAGAGGCAGTGAGCCCAGTAAGAGGACAAAAGGGCATGTTTTCAAGTTACTTGGTTAAAGCAGGTTCAATGGCTATACCAAGAAAAAAAAAATGTGGGAGGCCATTATCAAATGCATGGGTATGGGGAGGTGAGAACAAACGGGGCCATTACTGCAACCAATCTGCTGCAGTATCCCAGGATCACTGTGTAGGGACCAACGTGCAAACAGTTATGTCCCCCAAGTAGTTTCTTCTAGCCTGTGACCTTTAAACCTAGTCCAGCTAGACCTCCAGTACCAAATCTTCAGAACACCAGTAAGCTTTTTTTTTTTTTTTTTTTTTTGAGTGTATTAGAAACCACACTTGGAAAAAAGTGACCAGTTCATTGCTCTCATGACTGCTTTGGCAGGGCGCTCAGAGGCAGAGCACTGACTCCATCAGACCGAAGCATGTTTCCACAGAATGTGAGAAATCTTCCTGCAAAAAATGAACTGTGCTCTACAGAGCACCATGGTGATATTTTATTTGTGCTGAAATGTGATTTTATTTATATGTTAATAAATAAAGTTGCCTGGAGATCAGAGGTCAAAGCAAGCCATAAGCAGAGTCAGGCGGTGGTAGCCCACACCCTTAATCCGATCACATGGCAGGCAGAGTCTCTGTGTGGTCAAGGACACAGCCAAATGTGGTAACAGGAGCCTTTAAGCCCAGTACCAACCATAGAGACCTGGAGGTCTATATAGACAGGCAGTGACAAGGAAGTCATGTGGCTGGGCTCAGAGCCAATAAGAAGGCAGAACAGGAAATCAATAAAAGCACAGGTTAGACAGGAAGAAGCTCTCTCTGGGGAAGCTGCTGCTGGTAGTAAGCTAAAGCTAGTCATGGCTATTGCTCTGATCTCTTTGGCTATTTCCTCTGTATTTGGCTCTGTGTTTCTTATTTACTAAGACTGTTTAGAATTTTGTCTACAGAGCACCCGGCCTCCTTGTACTCCTCCGCATGCAAAGAGGGTGTGTAGCAATTTCCTGAGACAGAGCCCTCCATCTTGGAGGGAAGCTCATTAAGCTGAGGAAGTAAACAGATCACAGGCTTCAGGAAACCCCTGGAACTGACCAGATTGTTAGGCCCCTACCTCACCAGGCATATATAAGCAGTAAGAACTTCTGAGAGACCATCCCAAACAAACTCAACTGCCTACAAGGCTCTCAGAAAAGCTGACCTGCCTAAAAGAGGGTCAGACCAGCCAGGCTACCTGGAAGGAGAGAGATCAGCCAGGCCACCTGGAAGGAGAGAGACCAGCCAGGCGACCTGGAGGAGCTCGGATAACCCGAGGTTCCTGAAAGAGACTGTCTCCTACCTGTTGAGCAGCCTGCAGATTATGCATGCATTCTAGGTTTCCAGTA